AAGGAAAGGAGGAGAGGAGAGAAGGAGAAGAGGAGAGGAGAGGAGGAGAAGTGGAGAGGAGAGAGGAGAGGAGAGGAGAGGAGAGAGGAAACAGAGGAGAGAGAGGAGAGAGGAGAGGAAGAGGAGGAGAGGAGGAGGAGAGAGGAGAGGAGGAGAAGGAAAAGAGAACAGAGGAGGAGAGGAGGAACAGGAGGACAAGGTTCTGAGGAAGAACAAAGTTTATCTCTGAATTGTAAAAGTTCAGATTTTCATGATGCAAATTTTAAAATGAAACTAAAGAGAAACACCTCCTCTCCACAGATCTGACCTGACCTCTGACCTCCACCGCCCCCTGCTGACTTAAAGAGGAACACGCACAACATACACACACGAAAAAGAACAAAATACTCAAACTGTTATGGATTTTACATCAGCAAGTTTATTATTTTTTGTGTTTGTTTATTTTTTGCTGTATTTATAACGAAAATAAAAATAATAATTATCAAATTTCCACAAGAAGAAACATAAAAAATATTGTAAACGTACTTTCCCGGGATCCAGAACACACAAACTAAATAAATAAACAAACAAATAAATAAATAAATAAATAAAAACGACAAAAGCAAAAGTCCTGCAGTGTTCCAATAAAACCAGCAGAGGGCGCGCTCAGTCCACACGTTCTACAAAATCCTTCATTATTTACCTCAAAATAATAATATTATTCAAGTAGAATTACACAATACTGGTCCAAGAATTGACTCGAGTAAAAGTAAAGGAGTATTTGAAGTACTACAAGAAGTAAATGATTTTTTTTTTTCCCTTTTGCTTATGTAAAAATAAACTGCAATGCTCCGGTTTATTGCAGTACTACGGAATAACCACAAGAGGGAGACATTTTACAGCAAAACAAATATCGAGACGCTTTAAAATGTTCAGAATTTTTATTATATTTATTTAATATTTCTGTCTGGTTTACAGTTTGTTTGTTTTTTCAGTAGTTTTAGTACATTTGCTAAAATTGGTTTACTTTAATCTTTTCATTCAAACATCTGAACAGGAATTATTTGGAACATTTCTCGTGAGTTTTCAAAGTTCTCAGGCTCTTTTTCAGAAAAACTCTCATTCACAAACACACATGATCAGTGAATTCTGCTTGTTTTTTTTTGTTTTTTTTGTTGTTTTGTTTTTTTTTGGTAAAGAACATCAGCCAAGACACGATCACTTTCAAACTCAAACAGAACCTCGAAAAACATACAATTTATGAGTTCTCAAAATCTAACAAAGGATTTCAAACTTATGGTGGTTAAATATTCAAAATTAAAATCTGGGACACATTGGAATGGTTAATTGTTAAATGACTCGACTCAAACGTGTCAGTATTTAATCTGAGGTACTTCTGTCCTTGCATTTTATTTATTATTATTTATTATTTTGCCTTTTATTCATTTTTCAAGCATGTTTTTCTGTATTTTAGCTGAAAGGAAAAGACAATACACTGGAATTTTTACTTTTTTTTTTTTTTTTTTTTTGACAAATTGGTCAAAAATAGGAACAACTGGGACATTTCTTGTATCAAACTGGGACAAATCACTGGTTTTGGATAAATCAGGAGAGGAAAGGGGACACAGGGCTCATCTAATAATAAATAAAAAAATAAATAAATATAAAATAATAAAAAATAAAAAATAAAAAATAAATAAAATAAAAAAAATAAATAAAAATTAAATTAAATTAAATAAAATAAAATAAAAAAAAAAATTATAAAAAGGGTGGTGGGTGGTTGGTTTAGAGTTTCAAAAACTCAATCGTTGCCACTTTCAAAAAAAAAAATTTTAGCTGAAAGAAAAAGACAATACACTGGAAATTTTACTTTTTTTTTTTTTTTTTTAAATTGGTCAAAAAATAGGAACAACTGGGACATTTCTTGTATCAAACTGGGACAAATCACTGGTTTTGGATAAATCAGGAGAGGAAAGGGGACACAGGGCTCATCAATAATAAATAAAAAAAATAAATAAAATAAAAAAAATAATAATAATAAAAAAATAAAAAAAATAAAAAATAAATAAAAAAAAAAAAATAATAAATAAATAAAATAAAAATTAAATTAAATTAAATTAAATTAAATTATAAAAAGGGTGGTTGGGTGGTTGGTTTAGACTGTTTCAAAAACTCAATAAATCGTTGCCACTTTCTAAAAAAAAAATTTTGTATTTTAGCTGAAAGAAAAAGACAATACACTGGAAATTTTCCTTTTTTTTTTTTTTTTTTTTAAATTGGTCAAAAATAGGAACAACTGGGACATTTCTTGTATAAAACTAGGACAAATCACTGGTTTTGGATAAATTCACTGGGACAGGGGACACAGGGCTCATCTAATAAATAAATAATAAATAAAATGGGAGTGGGCTCATCTAATAATAAATAAATAAATTAAAATAAAAATGGGGTGGGAGTGGGCTCATCTAATAAATAAATAAATAAAAATAAAAATGGGGGGTGGGGTCATCTAATAATAATAATAAATAAATAAATAAAATAAAAATGGGGGGGTGGGCTCATCTAATAAATAAATAAAAACAAGGAAGAAAGAAATTTCTGGTAGAGATTTTGGTTTGTAAAATATTCGGCGCGATGACTTTAAACAGTTCAACTCTGTAGAAACCTTTTTAAAAAGAGTACAGTTGAGTAGATGTTGTGTTTTGGAAAATATGGAGCTCTGGAGTTGATGAATTGTGCATTGAGTTTTGTTTGTTTTAATTTATATTTTGTCTCTTATATGTACAATGAGTGGAGATGTGAATGCAAATTTGTTGTTCATCAAATGATCCAATAAAAAAAAAAAAAAAAAATGGGGGGTGGGTGTTTGGTTTAGACTGTTTACAAAAAAAGTCAACGTTCTAAAAATTTGTTTACGTTACATTTCTTGGAATACCTAATCTTCTCTACGTTCAAAAAGGACATAAAATTCAGCATAATATTAATTGTATTTCTTTGTAAAAAGCAGTAAATATTGTTTGGACGAGCTGGTAACACACTGATGAGTTTAAGTTATGAAAAAGTGGGGTTTCCTTACAAAAAAAAAGAGATTATGTGCTTATTTTCAACAGAGAAAAATGTCAGAGCGACTAAATTTGCGACTAGTCTGAGATAAAAACACAACAGCGGTATTTTTTTATTTTATTTTATTTTATTTATTGAACACGTCTCACAAAGTAACATCAGTGCAGCGTGAGAGTGGAGTGACAAAAGCGACAACGAGTTCAGTCCGGTCACGGCCCCTCATGAACTCGAGTGACATGATAACGCAGATTTTATTTTATTTTATGTTCGAGGTTTATGGATGACACAGACCAGGGCATTCGGATGAAAATGTCTTTGAAAATGTTGAACAGAACCTGTGCTCAATATTTATCATAGTTTTACATCAATTTTTACATCAGTTTGAATAAAAAAGTTGGAAAAAAGTACAAAAAAATACAGGATTTCAATTCTAAAACATAATCCCTCTGCCCATGTTATCGAGACACAAAACATCTGTAAGTGTAAGGAATTATAAACTTTACCAAAATGTACAGGAGAGAATATTAGTTCAATTTTAAATATAAGGAAATGTTTAGAAAAGATTTGGAAAATGGCCTGGGAACATCCTGGTCCCACCGGAGGAGCTGGAGGAAGTGTCTGGGGAGGTGGAAGTCTGGGAGTCCCCGGGAGTCTACGGAAGCCGAGAGGGGTCACGACAAACGCAAACGCCGCAACAAATACAAATGTGACAACACGACAAAAAAAAAGCCACAACAAACCAAAAAAAGCCACAACAAACCAAAAAAAACCACAACGGAAATGACCGCGGGACTCTATTTTAATGCAAACGCCGCAACAAATACAAACGCCACAACACAAACGCAAATGCCGCAACACATTAAAAAAGCCACAACACATTAAAAAGCCACAACAGAAATGACCGCGGGACTCTATTTTCCGATCAAGCGGCAAGTGAAGAAGAAGAACTACAACGTGAAACGAATAATGATAAAACAAAAAATGACTTTTACTAACGTTTTCAACTTCTCCGTTCCTTTACTTTTCACGTTGTCGTTCTTCTTCTTCACTTCGCCGCTCGATCGGTCCGTCGGAAAACAGAGTCCCGCGGTCACTTCCGTTGTGGCTTTTTGATGTGTTGTGGCTTTTTGATGTGTTGTGGCTTTTTGATGTGTTGTGGCTTTTTGATGTGTTGTGGCTTTTTTGTGGCTTTTTGATGTGTTGTGGCTTTTGGTGTGTTGTGGCTTTTTGATGTGTTGTGGCTTTTTGATGTGTTGTGGCTTTTGATGATTGTTGTGGTTTTTGATGTGTTGTGGCTTTTTGATGTGTTGTGGCTTTTTGATGTGTTGTGGCTTTTTGATGTGTTGTGGCTTTTATGTGTTGTGGCTTTTTGATGTGTTGTGGCTTTTTAATGTTTGTGGCTTTTTGTGTTGTGGCTTTTTAATGTGT